GGGAAGCATTTCAAGTTTTAGCTGAGTGGATTGTGACATGCAGCTACAGAAACAAGTGTTGCATTGCATCCTGTGCAATAACAGAGGCAGATTCTTTGAGTATATTTATGATTTTTTTTTAATATTACAAAAAAAATGTGCAATGATAGCTCCTTAATGGAGTTTCTCTGATACATAAATACCTCAGCAGTGGTAGGACTGCATGATTCTTGAACTGATTTTGACTGATGGCAGAAGGGTATCTCACAGAGCAGAAAAGAGGGTAGATATAGCAATTACGGCCTTGAAATTTTGGGAGAACATGTCTGAGTGGAATGTGGGGGAATATGCTCCTCCTACCCAACCCCAAAATCAACAAAATCCCCATCCTGCCAGGCTGCCATACTCTCATACAAGAGAGTATGAGCATCTTGCAAGGAAGAAGACTTTAGAAATTACAGCCCAGTCAGTCTCACATCAGTTGCTAGCAAGATTATGTGGGAGAGGCCCCTAAAAATTATTACAACATAGATATGAAAAAAGTCAGTTGGGGCAAAATAAGCATGGGATTAGTAAAGGCAAGGAGCACCAACTTGTGATCTTGCAAAAAGCCTATCTCAAGGCACAAAAAGAGTGTATGTTCTTCCTCAACTTCATTAAGGTATTTGATGTGATCTATGCTGCATCCTTATAACTCCATTAGAGAAAGAAGCTCAATAAAGATATTGTCTCAGAAAAAGAATTTGAGGTTGTCACAAAGGCACCTAAGGCCCAAACATAAACCTAAATATATGCAGTGATTTGGCCGAAATTAAGAAAAGCCAATTCTATTTTGATGATTATATACATTCAGAGAAACACTGATGAAAGAAATATATTCTAGATTTGCTTTTGTCAAGATTGATCCAGGTTTGGAAATAAAACAATATAAGATAAAGCTCTCTAAATACATACAAAGACAGTCTGTCTCTTGAGTAAAAATCTGGAGGAAAAAATACCTGAAAGAAATCCTACTTTGAACCCCACCTGCAATTTCTTAATTCATATAGAATCACATATTTTAAAACACAAGATAAACACAAAGTTTTCATAGTTTCTCATGTTCAGTAAGTTCATATACATTCACTATTTCTTGTTTTCTTGACATTTTCCTCAAGACTTTTAACTCAATTATTAAATTCTGTGCTCTCTAAGGCTATATCGGGAAAACACACACTACTTTCAGAGAATACATTTTTAACCTTATTAATTGTGAAAAAAACCCACAAAGTAACCCCCTCTACTTTAAGGGACAATGGGTTTCTTTTTTATGTAATGGAAATAATTTAACAAAGAGAAAACTGGATTTTTTTTTTTTTTTGGCTCTTAAGAACTGTATGTGTAAATCAAAAAGATTAATAAACCCAGGAATACATTCTCAAGAAAAACACCACAAACTACTTTTATTGTTATGTGACAAGCTAATAAGACTGCACCTTGATTGTTTCCATTCTAAGTGCAGTGGTACGGATGGAGTAGCATGATAATAAAAACATTTAATTCAGAAGAACTGAAATAATTCAGGATGTTGAATTATGTGTTATTTGATTTCATACATCTCATTAAAGATACACAAAGAATAAAGTTTGCATCATAACAATGCAAATTATATAAACATGAGAAATATAACATGGTCTGGATGAAACTTACTGGTTTCAGGCTAGCAGTTTGATCAAAAGCATACAGCTAGACCATTCATAGCCAAAATGTAATTCTCTGTAAGATTCATTACACAGACTACACATGCCCTGGTTTGGGGGATATGAAGATATCAATTCAGGGTCAAATGAGCCCATATCTGCTCAGGGTCTGACACATCCTTTAAATTCTGACATGCAGAGAAGCCATTTGATGAAAATACAGAAGTTTCTTTGTGTAAACATAGAATTGGGGGTAGGAACCCATAGTTCTGCAGACACCACTGACTGTGTATGGTAAAAAGGGCAAAGCAAGAGGAGTAGGGCTAGGGAAACAGCACACTCTGAGTAGCCTTCTCATTTACACAACTTCTACACAAAAGAAACTATTTATTTTAGTCAAGACCTGGCTTTTTCACTACTACGTTTGGAAAGAAAATTTTATACTGTCAGAAGTAAATATTACTAGAAGTTTTCTTTTGTTTTTAAGAATTCACATACATTTGTTTTCCAACTGACTTAAATCTAAGTATTTTAGCACTTACTTTGAATATTCAGGGTTTCAATGAAGCAATCACAAGATAAAAGCAATCACAAGATCAACCTACACACAATGTTCAATACCATTATCTTGATAAAGGTAGTTTAAGGTTTGCATTTAACACTGTATAAATGATCTTATTTGGGCATCCAGGTATGCAGCAGGCAAGTGGTCATCAGTAAGCATCTGTGAGCTTTACACTAGCAAATCTAGCCATTCTCACACTTAAATTGCAGCAGCAGAGAGCTCAGCTCTGCCTATCTACTCAAGAGACTGCTGGGCACTCTTAGCAGCAGTAATGCAGAGGTGAATGCTGCCCTCTCAGTGAACATTTTTATCACTTTCAGATCGAGCTTACCAAAAGATAACACCAGCAAAGGTGCAAGAATTCCAGTAATGCCTCCTAGGCACAGCACAGCACAGCCACTGCTGCACCTCACTGCTAGTAACACTGGCCTTCCCAGCTCACTCTGCCCTGAGCTGCAGTGGGAGAGCAGTGAAGACCTGACCTCCTGAGAGCCTCCGTGGAGCTCCCTCAGAGCCCATTCCACAAACCATGTTCTGCAGTGCAGAGGAAATATACCAGTCCTGCAAAGTAACTACTGAGTAAGTAATCAAGGAGTTAATCAAACAATGTCACTTTAATGGATATGTTCTTTTATTGGGGAGTGAATGTGGGCTTAAAAAACTAAGTCTCTTTCTAGAGATAAGGAATGACTTGTTGATTTCACAGAATATTTTAACTCCAGCGTATATCAAACTTAAATCTTTATTACTTAAATGGAAAAGGCAGACAAAAGCATTTCTGTCTGTATTACCCAAAGTAAACACTAGTAGCTGGTGAGTGAGCAGGATGGTTGCTCAGAATCTGCTGTCAGTATTGAATAGGTCACTACTGACTGGGATGAGACCTCAGTAAACCTAGCTTACTTTTAGATTTCAACAACACTATGGCCACTTTTCTAAGTACCAAAACAGCTCATGCCACATGCAGATGCCATACAGCTGCAGAAATACTCTACAGAGACACAACAAAACCCTACTGCTAAGCTGGATACAGCTCCAGAGGTTTCCCTCATCATTCCCTTGTGGCATTCCAACTTGCATACAGAAGTTACTGAACTTTAGCACAACTACTGAGCAAGTTGGCATAAGACTGGAAAGTGAATCTAGTTCAAAAGTTCTGTAAGATGAGAATAAAGCCACAAAGTGTACCACTTTTTTATCTAGGTGACAAGTGCCTTAAAGTTAATACAGATACGTAGAACTGGAACTCTAAAAATATTATACTTGAATTATTTTTTCCAGTTAATAATCAACTCTATTTTCTGATGGCTTGAGAATATTTACTGACAAATGTTGTTTTTTTCATGAGCCTCACAGGACTAGTGGCACCGTATGTTAGGCATCTGGTAGATTCTGCATCCTCTCCTTTACAATAATTATGCATTAAATATGCATAAAATGCATATGTGTGCATTTTTTTCTGAGATTTGTTAGCAGCTAAATGAAATTAGGACCCTCCTCAAGTCTCATTACTATCGCTTGGAACAAAAGTTTTCATCTTCTCTTTAACAGAAGCAATGTTCTGCAGTATGAAGCACTGGGCAAGAAAATATTCCCAATCATTACTCTCATGTACAGTAACAGGACTTGGAACAATAACCACTCACAAAAAAGAAATGGGAAAAATGCAAACATCATGAGTAATGTTCTGCAGCCTTGAATGAAAAGTATGCTCCCTGCAAAGTTACTTAAATACTATAAAAGTTTTCATTACTTAGAACAATACTGCTACTCTATCAAGAACTGGAAGATCTTAGCTTTACAGAACAAGATGAAGATACTACCTCAAGGATTTATTAACATAAGAGCAAACTAATTAAGACAAATGGGAAACTGACATCTCATTTATGAAGGTACTCAAGATTTTTCTTATATACATAGAAGACAGATTTCAACAGACAAAATTTCCCACAAATTTAGGGTCAAGATACTTGTGTTTCCTATCAAATGTTACAGTATGCACACTAAAATTCTTTCCTCATGATGGACTGAAAGCCAACATAACATTTTACTCAGATCATAAATAATCACTCTCATGGTAAAAAGATGATTTTTCCAGCATTTCAATACTTTTTTAATTCATTGACAATGTTAATATAAACAGCATAACTGAATAAAAACAAAAGTGTTAAAAAGACCTACACTGAATTTCATAGCACAAAATTTCTTACTTTTCTTTTTTTCTCTGTAATAACATGATGCTATATGATAATTTCATTTAAACAACATTTTAAAGGCTTTGCTTTGAAAAATTAAATCCTAGAGACATTACACAGTATAGCAGGATTTCCTCTACCTAATGAGCAAAATAAACCCCAAAAAAATTAAAATTAAAAAAAAATGAAAAAGAAAAAGCAATCATGATAGCTAGTGATAAAAAGAATAAAACCATTCCTTATTTCACTGCATTTTGAACTTATCACCACTCTTGCTTTTCTGGACTTTACATCAAATGAGAGTCAAATGTTCCATTCCCTGTGCTGAGGTCATTTGAAGTATAAAATATACATGCTTTGAATCTCCTTTCTTTAGGATAAAACATTTCTTTTAAGAAGTAAGCAAGGTTTCAGAGGAAAAAAAACTGACATGAAGGAAGCTTTCACTGTTAAGATATTCTCAAAGCAAACCTCTACTGATTGCTAATCTAGGAGGTGTAAGAATTAAACTTTGTAGTTTGAGACTGAAGATATCAATTTATATTAGCTGCAAATTAAGAAATAAAGATGAAAAATACCTACCTTTCGGGAATGGATTTCTTTCACATATAATGGAAGCAGAAATTCAGATATTCCTTCAAGTCGTATTCCTTTTTTAGTGACTCTCAAATTTCCCATTCCATCCTACAATCAATAATATATATATATATTCACTTTAGGAAATAACCTTATCCAGAACAACCTAAAAAGAAGACAGTAGTTGGCTTAACCCCTAAAAATAATGAATGCTGTCCCCAGCTCTTCTCATGATCTTAGGTAGGAGGTAGATGGGCACATTTAGCTTCACCTAGGGCTGAAGTATTTAACTGTGCAACCTGATGGTGACCTGAATACTTTATTTCTTGGATGAACCTAATGCCAGGGTATAACTGTGGATCATCATTATTCCCTGTATAGGGTGAAAATATTGCAATTGCTGAATGTAATTTTACAACTGCTCAATAAAAAAGTATTTAATTTTCTCTCTATATATGTAACATTTTTTTTACATTTAAAGCAATTTATAGCTTGAATCCAGTGTTTTTGCTTTTCCCGATGATTAAAATACATAGAAAAATATCACGTAGGAAGAAAGAAAACAATTTTTAGTGGTTTCTCATCACTACTAAGAGCATGTTGCTGATAACTTCGAAAATATTAATTTTGATTTTTTGTGCTTATTTATCGGACCAGAAATAGGAAAGGCGCCACTGTAAGTCTGGATGAAACAAACAAACCACAAAATTCAATGTTCAATAAAATATAAGCATAGAAAAGTGGCATAATGAGGCTTCAGCTGCACTCTTACAGGAAAAAAAAACCCAAAAACAATGAAACATGCTTTAAAATCAAGAGACAAAATTATTTTGCACAGCAATAGAAAGTCAAGATTTTTATCCTGAGAATCTTGTCACTATATTCCTGATAGAAAATTAATTCTTCACTGTACAGCCAGTGGAATTTAACTTGATCCACTTAAGTGCAAAATAAGCACATTTAATCTAATTGCAAATTACATATTTCAAAGCCATTGGTGACTCTAGTGTACTGGAACAATGAGATCTTGCCCCTTTGCTCTGCTGGCTGAAGTATGTGGCAAGTAACCTCTGCCTACTGGGTAAACAGCTGGGTAAGTCCTCGACTGCTGTAGCTGAATTGTCAAATAATGCTTCTTAAGAAAATGATGATCTATGTTAAAGTATTTATCTTAAGTCAAGTAATGTTTATACAAATATTTTCACATGGAAAACTACAGGTATTTCTGGGCTTATTAACAAAAAGTGCAAAATGAAACAGTGATACCTGTCTTTGAAAAGGAAATAAAGAAATTCATTATGGAACGTACAATCTGCCTTAACAAAAATTGAATCTCAATTTGATCAATCCTATAGTAAGAGAATATAAAATTTTAATACTAAAGGATAACCTGGGAAATACAACAAGCATGCTGTAGCTTTTGTCAGTGAATAAATATTCAACAAAAATTAGGTATTTTTTTGATTTATTCATTTGGGTATAAACATGTTTTCTAACTGAAAAGGCAAATTCAATATTTCATTTTACCTGTTTCCGTGAAATGTTTCTAACTGACACACATGAAATATATTTACAAGAAAAATAAGGAAGGAGGGAAAAGGAGGAAGTAAAAAATAAACACAAAATACACAAAAATGTAAAGTGAAGCTTTCAGAAAACTAGAAATGCTCAAATTAAAGTTGCCAAAGAAGCTTCCATCTGCTCTTATCTTGCAAGTATGTTTAGGATAAAATTATATTTTTGTATGTGATATTTACCTTCCTGAATCTCAGCTTAATCCACACAGGGTTGGCACAAACCTCAGTAAGCAGCTACTCATTATTTTACTTTCACGTCATTATTGTCTTTGCTCCTCATTTCTGTATTCTGTTAAAACTCTGCTGGGAAGACAGTACTGTCAGTATTCTTCTAGACTTATGTTCACGTAAGTGTTCATTACTGAAGTAATATAGTTCCTCACAACTATTAATCAATTTTCAAAATACTTTCACTTACTATATGGTGGTACTGTTCTTATGTTACTGACAGACTTAAAGCACAAAATCCATTTGTTCACTATTTTTTGATACTTATAATATTTTCTCTGTTTATTTTCAGCAGTGGGAAGTTAAATCGTACAGCAGGATTAAACTGTCAGGGTCTCAGAAACAAAGTATTGATAGAGCCTACTGTGTCCATAAGGGCTTTCATTTTTCTAAGTAACCTTTCTAGGTACTCATTCTTTAGTCCTTCAGCAGAATCCAACAAACTGAATGCAGACAGACTGCACAGACAGAAGCGCTCTAGCTTCAGTAAAATTACGATTCAACACAAAAAGACTGACATTACATTCTACAACCTAAGTTACAAAAGGTGTTATTAAACTGGAACAGGGTGACTGCAACCTGAATTCCTTGATAAGCACGATAATCTTCCAGACAATTCCTGAAATGTGCAATGACTGACATGAAATAAGTCTGAATTGTAAAATACAGAAAATAGTCAGATGTGTATGACTATAAGTATACTACAGTATGCTTAATGAAGATGACCCCACTGAAAGAATTACTTCCCAGTATGTTTTTTTCATCAATAACTCCTCCATCAAGTTTAAACAGGGGTTAGAATAAGAGGAGTTTCTTGTTTCATTGGGTTAAAATTATGCTGTTAAAGAGAAAAATTCAAGGGTTTTCAGAACTAACACAACTTGGTTAAAAAGTTATTAATATTAAAAAGATTAATCAGAGGAAGGTCCTTCTGCTTATTTCCCAAATAAACTCCATAAAGTTTAGGTTTTCCAGGCAAATAAAACTCAGATTATCCTTTTGTTGTGATTTGATTTTATTCAAGTGCAAAAATAGACTTGAATGAACTATGCCAGTACTTAAAACAAGTGTCAAGTTCGGTACCAGGACTGACTGAAATGGAAGTTTTCTTTCATCATAGCAGCTGGTATAATAGTGTGCAGTTTTGGCTAAAACACTGCTCATAGCACACCAGTGCTTTGGCTAATCCTGATCTGTGCTTCCAGAGTGTCAAGACTTTCTCATGTTTTCCCCCCTTCTCTGTCCCCAATAAGTAGAGTGGGGATGGCCAAGGAGTCAAGAGGGAACGCAGCTAAGCCAACTGACCCCAAGTGGCCAAAAGCATATTCCATACCTGTAACACCATGCTCAGCGAGAAAAAGTGGTGGTAGAGGAAGAAGGGGGCTGGAGGCATGGAGGGCTGGAGAAAACAAGGATTGTCTTTCAAAGTGGCCACTGCTTGAAGACAGAGTGGGCATCAGTCTGTGCTATGTTCTGAGTGATTGTCTTCATATCGCTTTGTCCTCTTTATTATTATTTAATATTTATCATTATTCTGTATGTTATACCATGTACAATTTTCCATGTTTCTCATTTAAGAATATAAAACAAACTAACAGTGACCCTGCCTCACTTATATTGTTCTTTTCCCTCAGACACAAAGAAAAACAACCCCTTTACATCCATAAACATGTCTTATAGAGATTGTAAAAAAAGAAAAAAATCAAACATCACTATCAATATTTTATGTTATTCTTAGAGTAGATCACATTTCAGTTATTAAAACCAGAAATTCAAATAAGAAGCTATTAAAATATGAAAACCAAACATTTAGTTTATGCTATTGTTTGTCTTAAAACTGCAGCAACCTAAGGAAGAGTTTTACTGACTTTGAACACCACATTAAAGTAAATGAAGTCCTAAACTATGCTCACTATAAATCTGTGACAATGAGAGTATAAATCTGAATCAGAATGTAAAAGTACTCTCCAGAAAAATATTCTGGGAGGCAAACAACAATACTGTCATTCAGAGCTTTTTCAAGCTTTGACCTGCTTATAAACAGGCAGAGATTTATGTTCTTTGATGACTCTGTAAATGGTATATAAGAAAACCAGAGATTAATTCACACTGTCTTTAAACAGGCAGGATGATCTTTTAAAAGATTAAGTTATTTCTTCACAATGTGCATTGAATTCTACAAGGGTGTATTACTTATACCGCCTGTATAATTTCTGCCCAATAAACTATTACAGCAGCATGTTTTATGATAACTACAAATATAAAGTATATGCTATGAATACTTCTCAAGAACTATGAATACTTCCCAACAAGTCAGGAAATTGGCTAAAACTACAATCTGCAGTAGTCTGTCTACAATCTAAACTACTACAACTAGTCCTGGACTACACACATTGCTATCTGATGAAATATGTTGTGGTGTGCTTTCTTTCTTTTATTGTTCTCTCTCTCTTGTTTTTCCTTCTTTTTTCTTTTTTACTTTTATTTGTTTCAGCACTGAGACATTCTAAGAAAAAAGAAGAGGATAAGGAATTCTACACAAATTGCTGATAAACCAGAAGTGTGAAAGAACAAGCTTAGCCTTCTACACAATAGAGGCAGTCCTCTGTGACACAGATGACAACTGAAGACCTAGAACAGGATTCACTAGGCTGGCTTAGAAGATCTTTAAGCTACTAAAAGGGCAGTTTTGAAGCCAAGCTGTGGAATATTTCAATTAGAAATAACATTTTGGAAGTCAGTAACTAAATCTTATAAACTCACTCCATCCAGATGAAATAACACCTCCTTGCATGAAATCAAGACCTTTAATGTTAGAAAATTCTGCAAATCTATCAATAACATTGTTATATGAAAGACATTAAAGTGGACAAAATATCTGCAATTCCCATGTAAGAATTCAAAATTCCTTGGTCTGGAGAAGAGAAGTTGAAAGGCATGATGTTCCTATCTGCAATTCCCGTGTAAGAATTCAAAATTCCTTGGTCTGGAGAAAAGTTGAAAGGCATGATGTTCCAAGTCAGGAAGGAAAACTCTCATCACATGGGGTGAGAACAGCAGTCTGATATATCCTCCAGTAATTTGTCATGCATCTGATGAAGTGGGCAGTGAGAAGGCAGTAAAGAATTCTGCTAACTAAAATGCAGGCTTTTTCCTTAGGATCATGAACTTACATGCAGTAGCACAGTGGAAAGTGAACTGAAGTGTTGGTTATTGACCAACAATAACCAACTGAATGGACTAGAACATTAATAAATAGTATTTTATATTTCAAGTTTGCACAGTATTTTTTCTGGCTTCATA